ATTTTAAAGAAACCACTACTAAGCAGAATAGCTTTTAAAAACAAAACAAAACAAAAACCTTAAAATGTCAGAACCAGAAGAGACTTAAAAAAATCATTTAAGCCAGTAGTTCTCAACCTGGAGGTAACTGTTAAAATGCAGAGGTAATAGAGACATGTGAAGAAAAACGCAGATATTCAGGCCTAAGAAAAGGTCCAAAAATCTGTTAATTTTAACTAATTCTCAAAGGAGTCTGATGTAAACAGATTAAAGCTGTTCTTTAAGATCAGGCTGACAGGCTAGCCAGGAGACAGAAATCCAGGTATAAGGCTAAAAGGGTCCAGACAATAGCTTCTGGAAAGCATGGTTTAACACCACATATCAACTTTAATAGCCAAAACAAATTAAGCAAGCAGCTTTTCTTTATAACTGCTAGGCAGAAGAAAATGCTTTGATGTATTTGGGGCAAAATAACACACTGCAATGATCTAAGTCAAGTTATTCTGTGATGGAGGCGGAAGGATTATATTTGCATACTTATTTTTAAAATCAGGAAACAAGAACTGCTGTGTTCTTAAAGTCAGTTTCATAAGAGTAGAAATTCACATCTGCTTAGGGAAAACTAGGAACATATTTGCATCTCTTTATTGCACTTCTTTATGGCAAGTAAAACTACAGCTGCAGAAATAAAATAAAAACCCTCCCCGCCGAAATCAAGACACATCAAATTAAATAAATTATATTAGGCTAGGTGTGGTGGTGCACGCTTGTAAACCCCATACTTTGGGAGGTCAAGGCCGTTGGATCACCTGAGGTCAGGAGTTCGAGACCAGTCTGGCCAACACAGTGAAACCCTGTCTCTACTGAATATACAAAAATTAGCTGGGCATGGAGGCACATGCCTGTAATCCCAGCTACTCGGGAGACTGAGGCAGGAGAATTGCTTGAACCTGGGAGGCGGGGGTTGCAGTGAGTAGAGACTGCGACAAATTGAGACTCTGTCTTTAAAAAAAAAAAAAAAAAGAAATTATATTAAAGGTAATGGACTCATTCCCACAGAGCAAAAGTCTATTAGTTCAGATCCTGCTCCAGAGAATAACATTTTTCCCCCCAAGTTCTCTCCCACAGTACCCTCAGTCTTCAAACAATTAGAGGCACCATCCTCTAAAGCTGATTCTGAAGACTGAGGTGACAGATCTCAAGTTGTTTCTGTGCGAAATTCAATGCTAAAAGTACTTATCCTGTGTTGATCACTATAGAGAAGCACTCACAGGAAAATAGGCAAATACAAATTGGTGGAATAATACAAGATAGTATGTCATATTAAGTGACAGTTTAATTCCCATGTGCAGTGTAAGTGCTAGAGGAATTCAGAGAGGGAACAGTTCAATGTAAGGCTGAAAATCAAGTTTTCCAAGAAAAAGCACTCAAGCAGCTCTTGACTATTTTGTCTCTTCCGTGCCTCACTTATTGGATAAATCTTCCAAGCACTCTTTTGTGAGACCTTTTATCTATTTCTGCTACTCATGTTGGGGTTCTCATCACCTTGTCATTCTATTTTTACCACAGACAGCCCTGCACAAAGAACATTTACTTCTAGTAGATTCCAAAGGACAGGGAACAGAGCTGGGTGCGGTGGCTCATGCCTGTAATTTCAGTACTTTTGGGAGACTGAGGTGGGCAGATCACTTGAGGCCAGGGGTTCAAGATTAGTCTAGGCAACACAGTGAGACCTTGTCTCTACCAAAAAAAATAATAAAAATAAAAAGGGCGGAGGAAACCAAACAAAAAAACCCAAAGAACATTTGCCAGCACTATACAATGTGATCCTTACTATAACATGTATGAATGCCCACAATATTTACATAAGAAAATTTCAATTCAGCAATATCACACAACTTATCCAAGGTCATGTGGCTTTTATTAGGTAGGTGCAAAAGTTATTGTGGTTTTTGCCATTACTTTCAATGGCAAAAACAGCAATTACTTTTGCACCAACCTAATAACATGCTGCACTAAAACTCAAATGTCTCTTTTTATTATATATTATACACTACTGTGTATATGGCCTTATTAAGAAGTCTTCTAATTTCTCTCTCTCCAAACCATCTGACTAGTTTTCCTAAAAACCCCTTTACACAGTCTCAAAACCCTTCAACAGCTTTCTTCTCCTACTTCAAGCAATCCATGGCCTCCCTAATTGGATTCTATCTACTTGTCCCTACAGTTCCTTTAGAGAGCCTTCTAGTCAACTCAATAACTGAGAAACATTAAACACCATCATATCTGTGTACCTTCACTCAAGGAGACTTTTTTTACCTGGCATGTCTTTCCTTTCTCTCCCCAAATAAGGTGCCAGTTCCACTCTCAGGAATGAGGCCTTTCCTTGAGGCTCTTACTCTTCTTTTTTTTTTTTTTTTTCCCCGAGGTGGATTTCCCTCTCGTTGCCCAGGCTGGAGTGCAATGGCATGATCTTGGCTCACTGCAACCTCCACCTCCCAAGTTCCAGCAATTCTCCTGCCTCAGCCTCCCGAGTAGCTGGGATTACAGGCATGTGCCACCACGCTCGGCTAATTTTTAGTAGAGACAGGGTTTCTCCATGTTGGTCTGGCTGGTCTTGAACTTCCGACCTCAGGTGACCTGCCTGCCTTGGCCTCCCAAAGAGCTGGGATTACAGGTGTGAGCCACCGCGCCTGGCCGAGGCTCTTACTCTTATCAATAAGTTTGCAGGGATCACTCTCTCTCTCTCATTTGAACTTCTCTAACAAGTACACACTTGCGCGAATATACCATATACTTCCTTAAATAGATTCAATTACCCCATCTTCTATATTCGGCAATTCTGAGTGCTCTCTGATATTAGGATTCTTGATTTACTCCTCCACCATCACACATTGTACCAGACACTACAGGTAATGGAGATCATTAACGTGTACTGTCTTACTTGGTTCTTCCCAAAACCCCGTGATACAGGTGCCAGAGATTCTAAAATTCCAAATGAAGAAACGTTAATTGATTTGCCAGTCTTCATACTGTTTGTAAGTAGCAGAAATACTTCAAAGCTGAAATCTTATGATCCCCAAATCCAGGTTCTTTCAATAACACAATGGTGCCATATACACTATTCCATAATAATAGTATTCCATACTGCCTTAGCAGAATGCCCATACTTTGCTGATGATAATCCCACTGCAAGGAAGAGCAAGAGCAGTTAGGGGGTCAGGTAAGCACAGGTTGTTAGGCGCTTACCCAGGAAGAGGGAAGGATTTGTGTACACAAATGACCATCAATTCCCCATACTCTCATGTCTTGAAGCAATTTACCATCCCAACCTCCAGAATATGTTTCTGTATCTTAAGGTTTGAGTGTGAGGCCAGGTGCATGGTGACTCATGCCTGTAATCCCAGCACTTTGGGGAGTCGAGGTGGGAGGATCACTTGAGGCCCAGGAATCTGACACCAGCCAGGGCAACACAGTAAGACCCTGACTCTACAGAAAAGTTAAAAGCAAAAAAATTAGCCAGACGTGGTGGTGCACATTTGCAGCCCCAGCTACTCAGGAGGCTGGGGTGGGAAGATCACCTGAGTCTCGGAGTTCAAGGCTGCAGTGAGCTAAGATCCATTCTGGGCAATGGAGTGAGACCCCTCACAAGAGAAGTGTGTGAGAAAGACATGGGTCTTTCAAAACCAATGACACTCAAAAAGACAAGTAAAAAGACCTGGATCTGAACCCCTCAACATAATCAAGTTTTCATTTCTTAAGCACCTACCATGTGTTATGCACAGGGAAGTCTGAAAGCTGTTTTCAATTAAATTCAAAAATCCTGTTTACTATACTAAAGACACCATGCTTAACAATTCTCATCAAACCAGCCCAAGGTCCTACAATGAGAGAACTGGAAGGGAATTTAGGATTAAGTCCCTCATTTTAAGGCTAAATCTCTCACTTTGCAGATGAGCAAATAGACATAGAGAGAGCAAGCATATTTCACGGTCACAAAGCTAATTAGAGGCAAAATCAACACTAGGACGAAGTTCTCCATCCATCTGTTTCTTCTAAGATGCTGTGCAAAGAGCAAGAAGGGCCAACCCAGGGACAGTTTTCCTTTTTTTCTTTTCTTTTAAGCCCTTGTTGCTAGGACTGCAGTTAAAAAAAAATTGGATGAGCAGAGGAGGAAAGGGACAAGCGTGAGCGGGCAGCAGTGCACTTGGTAGCAAACAGGGAGGTAGAGGGGAGAGAGGAGCGGGCGGGGAGAAACAATAGAAAGAAAGAAAAATCTTAAAGGCTTCTTGTCTGCCCAGTAGAAGAGTCAATACTCAAATATTTTAAGTATTCGCCTATCATGATTAAATGCCTAAAAACTTAAGTAAGCAAAAGGACAAGAAGCACATTGGAATCTGTAGCAGCACGCAAGGCTGATGGTGGTAGGGAGTTTCGGGGATATCGATTCTTGAATCCTTGGGCTTCGGTTTTCCGTGTCTGTGAAATGGGCACTGGCAACAGTGCACCCAGCACCCCAGGGGAAAAGCGATGGATACAATTAAGTATAGGAAGAACCAAATTACCGAAAAAGCTGTGGCGGCCAGGACCAGAACACTTACGAGAAGCGAAGAAGTCCTAAAGAGGAGAGGGTCCAGGTTTGAAGTGTGATGAGGGCAGGCTACAAGCGTGCGTAGGGTTGTCATAGTGGTCACACAAGGGCTCCCCTCAAAAGGCCGTAGAAAACAAGGGAGACCGGGATGGGAAGGTGGGTTCGCCGCCTCCCAGGCCTCCCCAGGATTCAACTTTTCCCAAGAACCGGCTCCTCACCTTTTCCAACAAGCCGCTACGGCCACTGCCTGTCCCGCAGTTGGAACCACCGCCAGCCCCACTATTGCCTCCAAGACCACCGCTTCTCCCGCCCTGTGTAGCTGCCGCCGCCATGTTGTGCGCCTCTGCGTCTCCCTCCCCTCCGACTTGTCTGAAGCCGATTGGCTGGAGCTGACAGCGTGACGCGCCGCGCGGAGTCAATCGGGATCCGTAGTTTGGGGCTTGCTGGCGCGAGGTAGTCAGAGGACGTGGCCGCGGGGCTTGCTGGGACTTGTAGTTAGACGTCCTGGCCGTCAGTTGCAGCCTACACTGTCTGCCGTCGCGTCCCAGTTACTGAGGCGTCGGAAAGGTAGCGGCAGGCACCACCGTGGAGCGGCTCCGAGATCCCCGGCAGGCTCGCAGGCGCGCATCCCTCCTGACTGGGACTTCGCCTCCGCAGACCCCTTGGAGGCTGAAGCGACGCCGGAGGCAGGTGCGACTGAAAACTTAGTTTCCGAGTTTGAGTCTTTCTCCGGCCCAGGTGTGGAGTTTCCGAAGGAGTGGGCAGGAGCCGGTCCTTCATCCTTTTCTAGCCCGGTTGTGGCACTTACTGATTGTTTTCTCAAGCAGCTGTCATTTTAGCTGTTAGTAATGTTTTCGTGTTACGGAGAACTCACATTTACTGAGTGCCTAATGTCTGCCAGGCAATATCCTATGTGCACTTCCAGCCATCCTCTCTCTCACTGAGTCCCACAACATCCCTGTTAGGTGAGGAGGAAACTAAAGAACCTACCCAAAGCCAGATAGCGCGTATCTGAACTCGGTTTTCAAGCCGGCATTAAAAAAAATCAATATATATCCCTTCTGACATTCTGCTTTTATGGTTTTAGGATGTAATAGGAGTCTACATTTTAATTAGTATTTTTTTTCACAAATATATATTGAGCACCAATATTGTACTGATGGATACAAGGGATCAAGATAGACCTGGTTGCTACTCTGGTGGAACTCCTACTCCATGACAGAGTTATCAAATAGCAGAATTGTATTATACTATGCTCTGTTACATTGTATTGTTTTTTAATTCCTATATATCCCCCATAAGCATCTAAATAATTAAATATTTTTGAGTTGCTTACTATGTAGTAGGCCCTATTCTAGTCACCAGGGATATGTTCCTGAATAAAATAGACAAAAACTTGTCTTGGGGAAGCCAAAATTCATGTGAAAATAATTATTATCTAGGCTGGGCATGGTGGCTCACGTTTGTAATCCCAGCCGAGGCGGGTGGATCACCTGAGGTCAGGAGTTTAAGACCAGCATAGCCAACATGGTGAAACCCCGTCTCTATGAAAAATACAAAAATTAGCCGGGCGTGGTAACGGGCGCCTGTAATCCCAGCTACTTGGGAGGCTGAGGCAGGAGAATTGCTTGAATCTGGGAGGCAGAGGTTGCAGTGAGCCAAGATCAGAAGGAAAAGAAAATAATTATCAGTAAATAACTAAATTATTACTAAAAAGAAAATAATTTTCACTATGTAACAATAACATAAGATGACATTTCATTACCTCTCTGAAGCAATCCCTGGACACTCTAATCAGATGCCCCTGTAGCTTGTTGCCATTTATCTTTTACAACTTCTTATTTTTCTTTTATTTAAAAGAAAATGAGATGATATACCTTTGCCCTAGTCACTTTTTTTTTTTCTTTTTTTGAGACAGAGTCTCACTCTGTCACCCAGGCTGGAGTGCAGTGGTGGGATCTTGGCTCACTGCAACCTCTGCCTCCTAAGTTCAAGCAGTTCTTGTGCCTCAGTGTCCCAAGCTGTAGTCTCTGTAGCTGGGACTACAGGCACATGCCACCATGACCGGCTAATTTTTATATTTGTAGTAGAGAAAGGATTTTGCCATGTTGGACAGCCTAGTCTTGAATTCATGACCTCAAGTGATCCATCTGCTTCGGCCTCCCAAAGTGTTGGGATTACAGGTACGAACCACTGTGCCAGGCCAACTTCTCATCTTTCAAGATCCAGCTCTAATGTCACCTACCCTGTGAAACTATCCCTGATACTTGCTTCTTCTTTCTTCACCCACTGCATGAAGTGCTCCCGTGGCATTTTGTTCATGGGTTGGGTTAGTTCAATTAACACTCATTGAGACTCTTCCTTCAGTAAGCCAGGTCCTGTGTAAGATGCAGGATAAAGAGATAAGTAGGACCCAGGCCTGACCTGATCTTGGAGATACTCACAGCCTGGGAGTGAGGTGGGGAACAGACAAGGAAGCAGGCATTATAATACAGTGTGGTATAGTGCCTGTATTAGTCCATTTTCACACTGCTATAAAGAACTGCCCAAGACTGGGTAATTTATAAAGGAAAGAGGTTTAATTGATTCAACATGGGTTCTTTTCTATTTCCCTAAGTATTGACTGGTCTGAGAAATAAAGGCAAAGAGTACAAAAGAGAGAAATTTTAAAACTGGGTGTCCGGGGGAGACATCACATGTCGGCAGATTCTGTGATGCTCCCTGAGCCATAAAACCAGCAAGTTTTTTATTAGCAATTTTCAAAAGGGGAGGGAGTGTACGAATAGGGTGTAGGTCACAGAGATCACATACTTCACAAAGTAATAAAATATCACAAAGCAAATGGAGGCAGGACGAGATCACAGGACCACAGGACAGGGCAAAATTAAAATTGTTAATGAAGTTTTGGGCATGCATTGTCATTGATAACATGTTTATCAGGAGACAGGGTTTGAGAGCAGACAACCGGTCTGACCAAACTTTATTAGGCAGGAATTTCCTCATCCTAATAAGCCTGGGAGTGCTACGGGAGACCAGGGCTTATTTCATCCCTTTGTCTACTATCGTAAAAGACAGCCGTCCCCAAAGCGGCCATTTTAGAGGCCTCCCCTCAGGGACGCATTCTCTTTCTCAGGGATGTTCCTTGCTTAGAAAAAGAATTAAGGGATAGTTCTCCTATTTGCTTTTGAAAGAAGAGAAATATGGCTCTGTTCCGCCCGGCTCACAGGCAGTCAGAGTTTAAAGTTATCTCCCTTGTTCCCTGAACATTGCTGTCATTCTGTTCTTTTTTCAAGGTGCCCAGATTTCATCTTGTTCAAACACATATGCTCTACAATTTGTGCAGTTAACACAATCATCACAGGGTCCTGAGGCGACATACATCCTCCTCAGCTTATGAAGATGACAGGATTAAGAGATTAAAGACAGGCATAGGAAATCACAAGGGTATTGATTGGGGAAGTGATAAGTGTCCATGAAATCTTCACAATTTATGTTCAGAGATTGCAGTAAAGACAGCCATAAGAAATTATAAAAGTATTCATTTGGGGAACTAATAAATGTCCATGAAATCTTCACAATTTATGTTCTTCTATCATGGCCTCAGCCAGTCCCCCGCTTCAGGGGTCCCTGACTTCCTGCAACAAACTCACAGTTCCACATGGCTGGAGAGGCCTCAGGAAATTTACAATCATGGCAGAAAGGGAAGAGGCAGGTCTTACATGGTGGCAAGCAAGAGAGGGCAAGAGTGTGAAGGAGGAACGGTCAGACAGTTATAAACCCATCAGATCTTGTGAGAGCTCACTCACTATCATGAGAACAGCATAAGGGACCACCTCCATGATCCAGTCACTTCCTACCAGGTCTCTCCCTCAACACGTGGGGATTATGGAGATTACGGTAGTTACAATTCAAGATGAAATTTGGGTGGGGACACAAAGCCCAACCATGTTAGTGCCTCCATTAAGAAGTGGGCTTGATGGCTGGACAAGGGGGCTCACGCGTGTAATCCCAACACTTTGGGAGGCTGAGTTGGGAGTTTGAGGCAGCCTGGGCAACATGGTGAAAACCCATCTCTATCAAAAATACAGAAATTTAGCTGGGCATGGTAGCACACATCTGTGGTCCAGCTACTTGGGAGGCTAAGGTGGAAGGATTGCTTGAGTCTGGGAGGTGGAGGTTGCAGTGAGCTGAGATCATGCCACTGCCCTCCAGCCTGGGTAACAGAGTGAGACCTTGTCTCAAGAAAAAAAGAAAAAAAAAAGTGGTCGTGAGGAGACTCAACCTAAGGAGAGGGAGATACAGGAAAGCTAATCTGTATGTAGCCAGGCAAGGAAGAGGGGCAGAAATGTGATAGGCCAAAGGAATGGAACAAGCAAAAATATGCGTTACTGCGTGTGTGTGTGTGTGTGTGTGTGTGAGAGAGAGAGAGAGAGAGAGAGAGAGAGAGAGAGACAGGGAGACAGGGAGAAAGAGAGAATGTTTGTTTTGGAGGAAGCACTACAGCCAGATTGGCATTAGTTGTGTCAAGTTTGAAATAGAGACCAGAGGTAACTAAAGCTAACCAGGAAGTCAGCCTCCAAGTCTGGAACTTTGACTTTTTTTTCTACTGTATAAAGTTCTTACTTGTCTTAGATAATGTAACCTAGGGGTTATGTGCCCTTCTTGGCCCATTAGTTGTAGATCTACACCTTCTCACCTAATATTCCTAGTAAGGAACTGGAATTTCTACGATAGCATCCAGGTCTGCATACCTCCTACAAGCTTGAGTGTGAGTCATCTTTTGTATTATATGTATGGCAATATCTTTTCCCAGACTGTGTCTTATCTTTCAACTTTGACTTTGCTATTTTTATCTGGCAGAAATTTATTTTGTGTAAATAATCATGTAAACGATCCCTTCCTTTGAGATTTGTGCTTCATGTGTCTGATTTAAGCACTCCAGCCATACCCCACTATCATGATTATATTCTCCTATACCACCTTCCCATCTATGTCTTGTCTTTGTCTCCATCTCTGTATCTCTATCTATCTATTTCTTGGATCTTTAGTCCTACGGGCAAGGACTAAAGGCAAGACAAATTTTGGAGTAGAAGAGTCACAGTAGAATATAATTAATGAGAAAGTTCAAGAGCTGTGAATAGCAGGCTAAGAAGGAATGTAATATTTATTCTACAGGCAAAGAAACAAGTGAAGAAACAAAAAAAGAAGGAAGTCAAGGGGACATTCCCAAAGTCAAAGATCAAGTAAGTACTCTGGAGACCTGAAACCAGGTCACCATATTCTTTAAGTTACTGACGCCTTCTCCGACAGCCATCATACCTAACATTTTCCAGCCGGCAAATTACATCATATCTAACATTTTCCAGCCAGCAATTTACTCATTCAATCCTTCATTTACCTCTCTAGCGGATGTGTGTGATTGGTCATGAGAGCGAGTTCCTGAAAGACATATTGACTGAATATAAATTTGTCCCCATCCATCCATCTGTCCATTAATCTTCCAAACATATTTTTAGTGAGTTGTAGGCTCTATACTACATGCTGGGATTACACAGCTGAATAAGGTAATTATAGGCCCCACAGCAGGTGAGAAGTTGATGAGGTGAGAGCGAACAATTATAATAAAGTCGTAAGTACTATATTAGGCGAAGTATGCAGTGTTGTAGGAACACATAAGAAGAGCTTCCAACCCTTTGCAGGGAAGATCTGGGATCAGGAAACTCACAGTGCCCTGTGTTGGACCAACGGAGATACCAACATTCATTCATTTATTCCACAAATATTTATGGAATCTGTTATGTTAGGTGCTTTGTTAGGAATAAATTGATGACTACCACTGATATTGCCCTTTCCTAGGAAGGTTTTAGAGTCTAATTGACAGGGTGTGTGTGTAGCAGATATATGTATATATATCTTGGTCCTAGGAGTGCCATCATATCCTTCACTTGGCTCACACGTCTATTGCGTGCTTCCTATGAGCTAAGTCCCAAGGGTGGAAGAGAGACAGTGAAGTAGATGTGTTTCCAGACTTGGAAATCCATAGTCCATTGAAGGTACCCCTTCATGATCGTTAGTAATCTTATGAGGTCGGGCCATGCAATTAATACTGATGAAAGACTTTACAGCTTAGCAAAAGCAGCAGTTATTTCCACTGGCAGGTTCAGTGAGGGCTTTGTGGAAGGGTTGGCATCTGGGTGGAGTCTAGAAAGATGCTTTTTTTCTATCCATTCTGTCCATTATTACCTAATTTATTTCTTACTGCAATTCTCGGAGGCACAGAATTTTTATCGTCATTTTACATGTGAGGAATCTGAGGCACAAAGAGGTAAAGTTATTTACCCATGGTCACTCAGCTTGATAGTAGAAATTAGAGTCAAATTTAAAAGTTGTTTCCCTTCCTATTGCACCACTCTGTATTCATAGAATATTTGTCACTGCCAGGAAACCTTCTCTCAGCATGCCCCAATCTGAGCTTTCCACATTGCTTTTTTTTTTTTTTTTAATTGAACTCTTCCCAGACCCTTTGAATTGTGGTCTCATCTCACATACTTTTTGTGGCCTCCCTTCCCCTGGCCAGCGGCTTGCAGGTTCCCCAATCTCTACTACCTCAAATTGCATGAATCTATCTCAGCACATATTTGGAAATGCCTAGATCCCTTTAAGGACAAATTTTAAGAGCTTGAGGTTAAAGAAACTTAATCTTTGAGGTGGTCTTGGAGCTGAATCATAAAGGATGAGGTCAACCAGGTGAACAAGATGGAGAAGGGGGTTTTAGGCTGAAGGAACACCAAGAACAGAGGCAGGGAGGGCTACATGTGAATGATCTGTTTTGGGAGTGGAAGATGACACCGTGAGCCTGAATGGGTAAAACTAACTGGAGCTGGAAAGGTTAGGACATAGGACTCCAAGGACTTTCAAGAACAGGCTTAGGCATCTGGCCTTCATGTTTAGTGGGAACCCAGTCAGAAAACTGTTGTACTATTCTAGGTGGGAGATGATGAATGATTTAATGAAAACAGTAGAGATGGAGAAAAATAGACCACTGGAACAGTATTTCTGAGCTCAAATTGTCATGACTCAGTGACCTGTTAGATGTATGGGATAAGAAAAGAGGAGCTGGGACTAGTATGTTCACGTTGCATTAAGTGGTGCTGTGCATCTTCAAGACCAAAGGAAATGTGTGTTATTGAATTTGAAAATCCCAGTAGTCGGAGTTTGTTTTATTGAATGGGACTTATTGTTTAAATTTCCACACCATGAAAATAGAAGATCAGGCTGGGTGTGTTGGCTCATGCCTGTAGTCTCAGCACTTTGGGAGGCCAACGTGGGTGGATGGCTTGAGCCCAGGAGTTTGAGACCAGTCTGGGCAATATGGTGAAACCCTGTCCCTACAAAAAATACGAAAATTAGCCAGGCATGGTGGCGTGTGCCTATAGTCCCAGCTATTCAGGAGACTGAGATAGAAGGATTGTTTGAGCCCAGGAGGTTGAGGCTACAATGAGCCGTGATTGTGCCACTGTACTGTAGCCTGGGTGACAAAGTGAGATGCTGTCTCAAAAGAAAAAAATAAAAAGATCAATCAGAAAAAACAAATGTAGCCTAGAGTCGAATCTGGCTCTCAGGTGTTTGGTTTGGCCTGCACATTGTTTTAAAATGGCAAATTAGTTGCCAACCCTCAAATAGGAGATTTCATATATAAGGCAGACTTTCCTTGAAAAAAATGTGAAGATCTGGCAACGATGACTTAGGTTTCTGTATGGCAGCAATTGGTAAGAGCTGACTAGTTGCTGCCTCTATGAGCATGTGCACTCTCTCTCTCTGTGACACACACACACACTCCTTCTACTTTCTTCCCCTCGCCTCCAGCTTTCTTTACTCACTCACATGGCCTGCCCAACTCCTGTAACCACTTGTGTTTGCAAGTCCTGGGTAAAATGTAGGTTTTTCCAAGGTTTGACATCAGACTGTGGTGAACAATCTGTGAATGACAAATGGTAAGTGCAGTTGTGATTAGGGCTATCTATTCTTTTGAGGAACCGTTTTTATGCCTGTTTCTCTGAAGAGAATAATAATTTGATGAAGAAAAGACTGAGTCATACCCTGGTCAGAACTATATTCTCTTTCCAACTTTTTTGCATGTGCATGCATGCACGGGCACGCACGCGCGCACACACACACACACACACACCCCCCTAAAGAATTTCTGACTCACTGTAAATTGGTATTGGTGAGTCTCTGGGAGCCACCCCATAGCAGATAGAAAATGGAAGGTTATTTCTTTTGGGCTCTTTTTATTCTCTAGGTGTTAGGGAAATGGAACACTCGGGATATTTGAGATCTGTCTCCCATCACAACTGTCCCTGAGGGAGCCTGCCCTCTCTCATCCTCAGTGAGGGGACCCCTCCCCTGGATGCTGAGTGCCCTTCTTCTTGCCTTCTCAGGGATGGCTTTGCAGGTCTGCCCATCTCTCTCCTGCATTGTCAGTCTTTCCTCCCCTACTGGCTCCTTCCTCTCAGGCTACAGATGTAGTCAAGCCTTTCTCATCCTGTTAATAGCATAGTAATGGAAAATGAGCAGCATGAGTTAGCCATGTGCCAGATACTAAGGCATTTTCTCCTGTAATCATCAAAACAGCCCTATGAAGTAGGTGCACTTATTGTCTACATTTCACAGAGGAAAAAGCCAAGGCATAGAAAAGTAACTTGCTCAAGGCCACAGAGCTAGTAAGTGGCATAGCTAGGATCTGAACCCATGCAATGAGCTTCTGGAATTTATTCTCGGTAGTGACTCTGTCCGCCAGGGCTAGGACTAGGGTGGAGGCCAAGTGCTGACACTGCATTTGCACAACTCTGAGAGAGAGTACATGTTCCCCTAGGTGTTCCTTAGGCACCTTCCCCCAGCACTGGCCCTGATATTCACCCATCTCTCAATTTTACCTTCCATCTCACTGCTGTCTTGCTTTTCTCCTCCTTTTCACAATCAAGCTTCTTGAAAAACTTGCTTATATTCACTTTTTGTATTCCCTCGCCTTCCATTCACTCTTTCATACGTAAAGTCGGACTTTAACTCCACCCTTCTTCCGAAACTGACCTCCTACTTTCTCATGGCCTATTTTCGGTCCTCACCTTGCCTGACTTCCCTACCTCTTTCATAGAGTTTTCTCTTACCTTGGCTTACCTGGCAGCTCCCACTCTCCACCTCCCAGTTCTCCTACTTCTCTAAAATTATTTTCTTTTGTGGATCCTCCAGGGCCTTGTCCTCCTTTGTCCTCACATTTTTTTTTTTTTTAATATGGGGTCTCACTGTCACCCAGACATGATCACGGCTCACTGCAGCCTGGACTCCTGGGCTTAAGCGATCCTCCCACTTCAGCCTCCTGAGTAGCTGGGACCACAGGCATGTACCACCATGCTGGCTAATTTTTTAAATTTTTTGTAGAGACAGGGTCTCACTGTGTTGCCTAGGCTGTGTCCACACATGAAATGCTCATACTTCTAATTGGTCTTGCTCCTCTTTTTCTTTTCTGTTCCTCCCTTTCTCATTTCTTTTTTTCTGTCCATCCTTCTTTTTTTAATTCTTTAGTTGATTAACATGAACTCTCATCAGCTTATCCCTGGGTTGCTGCAATACTCCCCTAACTGCAATCCCAGTTGCCACTGGGTGCTGCTTTCACCTACTACTATTTTTGTCAGATCTCTCTTTCTAAAGCACAGCTTGGATTATGGTTCTGTCCAGCTCAGAAATTATCCATGGCTCCCAGTCACCTACAAGATGAAGCCTGAGCTCCTAGCCCGGTACCCCAAGCCCTTCAGGAGCAGGCACCATCCTTCCTATCCAACTTTATTGTTCAAGACTACCAAGCATACATCCCTCTCCTTCTTGGGTCACATTGTTTCTTTACTGTGCACAACTATGCCCTCCTGTGGCCCTTACTGTTTGGAATGTTTATCCTTCTGTCTATCAGAAAACTCAATTCATCCCTCAAATACTATTTATTCAGTTGAAGTCTCATTATTTGTACACTATTGTCTCTAAAATGTGAGCTCCTTCTTCTCCGAACTCTGTTAAAACAAAGAAAACATCTAGCAGAGACTTAATATGTATCAGGCACTGTCTTTCTCTCTTATTTGTCTTTTAAGGTAGGTATTATAACCCCCATTTTGCAGGTGAGGAAACTGAAGTTCGGAGGAGTAGAGTAACTTGCCCAGTCACAGAGCAAGGAAAGACAGAGCCAGGATTCAAACCAAGTCTGTCTAAGCCCGAGGATCATGTTCTTTCTAGAGTTCCATTGGGTTAGGATTTATTTGAACTGAAAAGCCCAGGGTCTTGTTTCCCTCTTCATATAAACAGCCAGCCCATTTCTGAAGCAAGGGCAGTGGGGCCTCCAGGTGTCAGAGCAGGATGTGTGCAGGGTGTGGTGGTCCTGGTGGGTTCACGAGCTGCACTGGAGTAAGAGTGCTCCGCTGTGTCTTTTCACTCTTCTGCTTCCTTGCTTTCCTTGCCTGGCGTTCAGGGAGATGGCCTCCTCAGGAATCTACAAGCTGGATGATGGGAAGCCTTACCTGAACAACTGCTTTCCAGCCAGAAACCTGCTTCGCGTGCCAGAGGAAGGTCAGGTGACTTCTCAAGTTGATACCTTTTCCTCATACCTAACTCCTGCTTTAGACCATCTCACACCTACTTGTTCTTCTCCAACTCCTTCACTACTGTTCCCTGCTGTACCCAGTCCTTCCCCCTCCAGTCCTAGTAGCCTCCGTGGGACTTCTAAAGTGCACATTTAACCACAGTGCCCCTTCTGTTCAGTGACTTCTCATTGCTAACTCCTTTAACTGGCATTCTGTGTCATTCTGAGTTTAACCTGCTCTTACCCTCTGCGACAACTCATTTCCTCCTTTATGCTCTATTCTACGGTGCTCGCTTTTCACATAACTTTTTTATTTGCCCTGAATGTTCCAGCCCTCATTCTTGTTAGCCAAACTCTTCCCATCACACAAATCCCAGCTTTCCTTCTACTTCTTCCAATAAGCCATGTCTGACTACCCTAGTCCTCAGCACCCATCCTCTCGTGAGCTGTCTTCCTGTCTGTATTTCTTATTTGGTGAGTGATTATAGTCTGCCAAACTCCTAAGTAAAATGGCTTAAATTTGACTCTGCTAGGTAGATTTTCAAATATTTATCTAGTCAAAAAATTCCCCGGAGCAGGGAATTGCCGTAATAAGAACCCTATAGGTGGAACACTAAGTATGGGTTCTCTGGATTGGATTAGTTGCTTTGAAAGGGTAGGGCAAAGGAGAAGTACACCTTGTTTACTCCAGATGTTGTAACTTGTTGGTCACTCTGTAGATAGAATATTGGAAGAACCTTCTCTTCCTGCCTGTGCTTCCTGCTTCTCTACAGTGATTTTGTTTTTCACACAGAGACTTTCCCTGGCCACCTACCTATCAGACACCTTCAAATGGAGCTATCAGTGTGAACTCATAGTTTATCTCTTTGTCTCTCTCTCTTTCTCTCGCTCTCTCTCTCTGTCTCTCTCACACACACAGACACACAAAGATGGATAGCTACAGAAATAAATATAGTTGTATATATCTATATGTCTTAGTGTACATATGTGTATTTCCCAGTCCACTGACAGCAATGACACCTCAGCAGCAAAAAGCATATGTAGTATCTACATCTTGGTTTCTAAATACCATTCTCCAATGAAAACAGCATGGGCTTCTTGGAGAAATAGCTGTTTGCAGGACTAGGGCAGAAAAAATACAAGTTGAGTTGGAGTATCTTGTGGTGCCAGAAGTAAAGAAGTGCTCAGAAAAATAATGGGGCGTGTTGAAAGGACACAGCCGACTTGAAGGTGCTCCCAATCACCAAAGGTAGGACAGTTTGAGCAGTGAAATAAATAATGGCGGAATTAGGTTGTAGACCATGGAACAACAAATATTCATGAGTCTACTAATATAAATGAATACTTGAATATGTAAATATGTGGGGGAAACAAAATAGCTCTTTCTTTTCTTTTTTTTGAGATGGAGTCTCTCTCTGTTGTCCAGGCTAGAGTGCAGCGGTGCAGTCTTGGCTCACTGCAACCTTCGCCTCCCAGGTTCAAGTGATTCTCCTGCCCCAGCCTCCTGAGTAGTTGGAATTACAGGCACTTGCCACCATGCCCAGCTAATTTTTGTATTTTTTATAGAGATGGGGTTTCACCATGATGGCCAGGCTGGTCTCGAACTCCTGACCGCAAGTGATCCACCTGCCTCGGCCTCCCAAAGTGCTAGGATTACAGGCATGAGCCACCACTCCCAGCCAGCTCTTTCTTATAGTAGAATTCCAACTAGAAAATGTAGAAGGAATGAGGGAAATAGAAAGTCACTATTCAAACACTACAGTAATAATTTTTGTAGGTAAGAACCATTATAGGATGTTGCATTAGAGTTCTTCAGAGAAACAGAACTGGTAGGAGATAAACAGGACTAGTAGGAGATAGGTAGGTGGGTAGACATTTTTTTTTTTTTTTTTAAGGAATTGACTTTATGTGATTGTGGGGGATGCAAGTCTGAAATTTGTAGGGCAGGCTGGCAAGCTGGAAACCCCTGGGGAGGAGCTGAAGTTGTTGTGTTAAAGCAAAATTTCTTCTTCCTCTAGGAAACCTGTTTTGCTCTTAATGTCTTTCAGTTCATTGGGTGGGGGCACCCACATTATCAAGGATAGTCTCTTTAACTTAACATCAGCTTATTGTAAATACTAATTACATCTACAAAATACCATCACAGCAACACCTAGATTAGTGTTTGATTGAATAACTGCATATTATAGCTTAGCAAAGTTGATGCATAAAATTAACCACCATGGATACTAGAATAAGTGGGTAAAAGTATGATGAGAAACAGGATATTTACATAGTTTCTTTTTTCTCCTGTTGATCTCCTGACATGCTCTGAGCCTTCCTTTCTGGCCTTGTTAGGGATTTTGGCACCAACTCAGGCTGAGGTCCCTAGCAGTCAGGCACATGAAGATAGGATAAAGTAGAAGCAAAGTCCATGCGCCAGATGAGGGCAGCCCTAGGAAATGGGGTACCTGGAGTATCAGTCCCATAATGGAAATGGGAAATGGCTCATATGAGATACAGGACAGGAACTGCATCCAAGAAGCAGGATGGGCAGCAGTGCTGTATGAGCCGGGGCAAGTCCCTGAGGCAGGGATAGTGGGCTTTCCCAGAAGATAACCAGTGGTTAGAGGCACAAAACTTGTTCCCACAGCACCCCTTGTATTATTATTATACTATTGTATATAAGATGTTATGTATTATGTTATTATGACTCCTTTGAGTTAGGGCTTCCTTTTTATTCATTCTCATACTCCCAGTTCCCAGCATAAAGTAGATGCTCAGAAAAGATAGGAATGGATGACTGTGTGGGCAGGGGCTATAGGACAGAGTTCATTCAGTCATTTGTTCAGCAACAGTCACAATGTGGTAAGCTCTGTGCAGGCCTTGGGAATACTGAGATGAATGAGTCAGATAAAGTCCCTGCTATTCCAGAGCTTCCGCTCTAGAGAGGGAAACAATGAATAAGTGAACAAATAAAAGAATTACAGATTGCAATGAATACCATGCCATATATAAACTGCTGGTGCAAGAAAGAACAGATTCCAAAATATGAGTTTTGTTTGGTGGGCTTACTAGTGAACCTCATATTCTTTTTGCTTATGCACAGTTTAAAATTCTTTCTACAGTAGACATGTATTATTAGGCTTTTTTTTTTTAACGCAAAGTGTCCTACATTTTCTTATTGTGAGTTTCTAACAGCATCTTTTCTGTACACTGATAGAGGTTTGAGAAGATGGAACCCTTGAATTGAGGTCACACATTAGGCATTACTCAAGAGATGACCAGTAGAAGAGTAACTGGCATGCATGAGAAAGAGCAATCAGCTCTACTGAGGGGCAAAAGGGAAGACTTCACAGAACAGGAAATACTTGATCTTAGTTTTTGAAGGAATAATAGAATTTGGAGATAAAAATGTGAAGGAAGGAATTGGGCAAGTCATTCCACCTCCTTTTGTCGCAGCCTTTTCATCTATAAAATAATGACAGTAACATGTTTTTCACTGGGTTTGGAGGTCAATTAAATGACATACCTAAGTAGATATCTCCCCTACCCCCAGCTGCAGTCCTGTGTCTGGTGCATGTTAGGTAATCAGGAGCTAGTTTGGGTTTTAGTATTATAAACAAAGTCTATAATTGCACTCGTTGTAACTTTGGAGTTTTCCCCTTTTCACTGTTCTAATTTTCTCAACAGGCCAAGGACACTGGTTAGTGGTTCAGAAAGGTAACCTCAAGAAGAAGCCCAGGGGTTTGGTTGGAGCACACGCTGAACGTCGGGAAAGCCTGAAGGTGACTTCTTTTGAGTTCAGTGGGAAGAAAGGGTCTCGGCGGGAAAATCAGGTGGACCTTCCTGGACGTATCCTGGACCAGGCTTTTCTGGTGAGAGTAAATGCATCCTGGAGTGGCCGGCACATTAGCTAGGGTGCAGAGGAAGTAGGGAAGGATTTACCCTGCTCTGGCACAGCTACCCCCAGTCTACTCCAAACTATTAGAGTGATACTGGCAAATTGAATACAGCCAGGATAATGAAGGGACCCAAAAGTTTCTTGACATGTGAAGCTTTCTTGACAGCTACCTAGTAAGATAGGTATTGTCATCCCTTTTGTGTTGTTGCCATTGGGCAGTTGGGAAAACTGAGGCTCCAAGAGGTAATTTGCCTTGGCTGAGGTTCCACAGCTAGTAAATGGCTGATCCAGGATTAGAACTCTGGTCTACTGACTCCAAAGCCTGTACTTTTACATTATATGAAGTAAAAACTCTTACTAAGTTGGAGAGGCAAAGGAGCAGGTCAGGGGAAACAGTCAATTGAAAATAGCATTCCAGCACCTAATAGGGTTGAGAGATTCCTGCTCTGCTCATTGGGGCGATCTCTACAGGATCGAGTGGGACTGGGGAGATTCTGCTCTCCCACAGCCTTTGTCCTTTGACTTTAGTGTCTGGCTGAAAGCTAGGGGAGCTCACCAGATACTACTTAGTGCCCGGGGCAGGCTTTACAAAGAGGACTGGGGTGGCTGTGTTGGAAACCAGCCAGGTAGTTTTACGTGTGCTCTGAGAAATGCCTCAGTGGCTTTGCTAAGAAGGATGTATTTTGTAAATCAATATTAATGTGCCGTCCAGTTCTTATAGCTCCCTAAGAACTCCCTGGCTGCCTGCTTTGTTTCCAGATTCTGCTGTGGTTCCCAAGAGATGGGTGTTTGCATAGATCAGATGTTGAAAGATACCTTTGTTGGTTTCATCTCACTTCAAGTGGGTAGTATAAGCTTTTTGCAGTCCTGTGGAATCAGTTTCATTATTATGTCCACTTCTCATTGGGAATGAGGAGGACTGAAATAATAATACTGAGAAGGGGCAGAAACACTTCCCATAGTGGCCTTTTTTCTTCCATTGTTTCCAAATACTTATACATTCCCATATTCAATAAATAGGACTTTTGCCACTGTGGGAGGCAGGAGCAATAGGGATGTTTCTCAGAGTTATGGGGTATCCACTCTGCCTATTGGATGGTTCCACTTGAATGTTTCATTGACAGTTGAATTACAGCACCAATGCTCCTACTCCAAATCCCAAAACAGATCTCTTTTCCAGTATCTACTTTACTGTCTCTGTTGGCACTACTATCTACCCCATCGCCAAGCCAGTTACCTGAGGTTTTCCTTGACATTTGCCTCTCCCACACTGTCCCCACCCCAACTTTTACCAAGTCCTGGCACTTTTACAAAATAGTTTTCAAATCTGTTTTCTCGTCTCGACTGTCATGACCCTCATCTGGGCCACCATCATCTCTTTTTGGACTAATTCAAACGTTTTCTATCTGTTGTGAGCCAATTAGGATGCTTTTATTTCACCTAAAAAGCCAGAGGCGTTGTTTAGGGTAGATTAGTTTACTGGATTAATGATGTCTTGCAAGGCTTGGGTTCCTTCTGTCTTTCTACTGTGCCATTTTACATGTTACCTTGTCCTCTTGGACTGATTGCCTTCATGATCCTGAGATGGCTGCAGCAATTCTGGTCATCACATACAGAAGATAACATCCTGAAGTAGAGAAGGGATTGCTACTGTCTAATGTCTTTTCAGAAGAGATTGTTACTGTCTAATGTCTTTTCAGAAGTAAGAAAATGCTTTCCAAAACCAGTCCCCCTCCCCAACACCAAGCAACCAGTATCTCATTATCTAGACCTATGTCACATGCCCAAACAGTTATGAGTTAGGGGAATGAGACCTCCATGATTGGTTTATACAGATCAAGACTTACTGCCTGGAGCTGTGGCTTAAGAACATTCCATTTGGAGAAATGTGAATAACACCGGTGTTCTTTAACAAGGAAGGAGTAGTGGTTATTAGGAAAGTAATTAACCAATCTGGTACATTGGTCTTTCCCCTTCCTCTCCTGTCTTCTCATCTACGTGATGTAATCTGTCTGATATGTCTATGTGTAGCTGACGTTACAATTTTTATAAAATTACTATCAGCCCCCTACTAAAAATCTGCTTTCCATTTGTTGTAGGATAAAATCCACGCTCCTTTGTAGAGCCAGCGTGGACTCATGATCTAATGGCCATCTCACTAACCTTATCTTGTTTTTCATCCTCTCAGAAGCACCTTGCTTTTTCCTGCCTTGGTAGACTTCATAATCCCTACTACCCACTTTCATGAGACCTATTTAGCTCTTAGGTCTCTGAAATATTACTTCCTCAAGTAAATATTTCCTCATTCAGACTGAGGTTAGGACCTCCTGTTATATCTCTTATAGCATCTTGAATTTCTCCTTTAAAATATTTATCATATTTATAAATACATACTTGCTACTTGGCTTCCCATGACACTGTAAGCTCTATGAGGTTATGGAATGTCTCTGCTTTTTCTTCATTGTCTTCCCAATGCCTTTTAGTGCCTAAACATAGTGGGTACCATAAATAAATAATTAGCAAAAAAAGAATGAGGTTTGATTAAATATAAATGGAAGCTCCAAAGCTAAAATTTACCTCTAACTTTTAAATTATGTCAGGTGACATATGGTAGTCAAAAGTGCGTAGAGTTTAGTGATTACAGATTTGGATTAGTAAGATCTGTCACTTGCTAACTGTGGTACCATTTTTTGGCAAGGCACATTACCTCTTTTAACCTTGTTTTTCTCATTAAAAAGGGGAGATAATCTTACTTATGTCAAAGGGCTTAGTTAGGATTAGAAGGAAGTTTGTTAATGTATTCAGCAAAGCATATGGCCCAATTTAGTGTTTGGTAAATATTTGGTGAATGAATGGATGAATAATGAATGAATGAATGAACAAGCAAACAAATTATGACAAGTACAAAAGATTGCCCAAAAAGAGAAGGCTGAATGATAATAGATTAAACTTTGTAGGGGCCTTAAGAGCCAACTCTTTGTATTATGTTCCAGCTAAAGCACCACTGTGTGAGGAAGCCATCAGATCTGTGCACTGTTAATGTCAGTGGCCTGAAGTTCTCCAAGGTGAGGTCTGCCAGCAAAGATGTGATTGGGGTGAGCCAGACTTGAGATGACGCACCTATCTGTTGTGATTTGTCTCTTGCACCTCCAGAGTCCATAGGGACTGGAAATCTGGTCACATAGAAGGAGGGAAAGGAGGGTCAGACAAGGATTTATTGGGTAGAAACAATTTTCAGACACAAACTTTTGCTACAAATTTTATGTTGTCCTTGTCCCATTTGACATGAATTAAAGAAAGTTGCCTTATGGGCCAGGCACGGTGGCTCACATCTGTAATCCCAGCTCTTTGGGAGGCCGAGGCAGGTGGATCATGAGGTCAGGAGCTCAAGACCAGCCTGGCCAAGATGGTGAAACCCCATCTCTACTAAAAATACAAAAAATTAGCTGGGCATGGTGGCGGGTGCCTGTAATCCCAGCTACTCGGGAGGCTGGGGCAGAGAATTGCTTGAATCCCAGAGGCGGAGGTTGCAGTGAGCCAAGATCGTGCCGGTGCACTCTAGCCTGGGAGACAGAGCGAGACTGTGTCTCAAAAAAAAAAAGAAAATTGCCTTATGAAACTGGTTTCGAATTTGCCATGTAATTTTATGGGTACATAATTCATTGTGTGACACTGAGTTCCCATCACAAGAGCCTACAAAAGACATTTCTTAAGTTTCAATGCCAGGGATTGTAATGGTTTTCCCAAGAAGCTGGTTCATTCCTAACTTACAGGTGCTGTGACTCATGCAATGAATCATGTTTCTTTCTTTGTGTTGGCTTATAGGCAGCTTGGAGCCATATTTGTTACCCACCATTAGCCAGTGTGTATACGGGATATTATAACATACATCTTTGGCATGTAGGCTTTCGTGACATACCAAGAGAGATTACTTGTATAAACCATAGAGTAGAGGCTCTAACCCACAGAATGGCCAAGTTTGTGGTAGAGCAGACTGCTCCTTTAACAGGGTTCTGCTTCACTTCATTTAGTACTCATGTTTTCAGAATTGAGTTACTTCGGGACAGGTTAGCCATAGAAATATATTCATCTTGTGGCTAAGAGGCCGTCCATTCTAGGCCAGCACATGGTCCTGGAGATTATAATATATAGGTCACATGTAACAGTGAGACAAAGTCGTAGAAGAAGATTTCAGAGGTCTCTGTCAATTAAGCTTGTGAGGGCTACAACAGGGCTGGCCAAAGCTCAGTCCCCTCATTGGATACCATCTGTTCTTCTTTTACTTATTCACTCACCTGCTCACCAAACATTACTGAGGCCTGGTGTGTCTCTGTGCTATTTGCTGGAGGGTATAGAGGTGGCTCAGACACTGCCTACCCTCTGGAGCATATAGTCCAGTAGGGAGGGAGGAGGCTGGGCTTAGATGGATGTGGAGTTAGACGGGACTAGCTAATGCAGCCAATGAGAGAAACACGAGAGTGCTGAATATGACCTCAGAGGACAGGCCCCTGACTCAGCCTTACACAGGAAACACACCCTGGAGAGGGTGGTAGCTTAGCTGAGACCCACGGGATGAGTGGATGCTTGCTAGCTTTGTGGTTAAACCATAAAGGAAAATGTCTGTGAAATTTAATTAAAAATATCTATCTAACAAAAGTTACCATAAACAAAGGTAAAAGATAAGCTGAGGCTAGGATAAGATATTAGCAAGTAATATAACCAAAAGGTATTAGGATCCAGAATATGTCAAGAGCTCTTACAAAACAATAGGAAAAAAGAGAAACCCAGTAGAAAAATAGACAATAGATAAATATGTTAGTATACAGAAGAGGAACTTGAAAGGCCAGCAAATATAGGAAAAGATATTCAGCCTCATAAGTAATCAGGAAAATGCAGTGCCTTTTTATAATAATCAGACTGGAAAAAATTAAAGTTTTATAATGCCAGTTGCAAGGATTTAAAGAAATAGAACTTCTCATACACTGCAGGTAGGACTATAAATTGTTTTAACTACTTTTGAGAACAATGTGGTACCATCTCATAAAGCTGTGTATTCCCCACAGCTTAATAGGAGTATATCATTAAAGAAACTCTTATGATGAGGAGGTGTGTATTAGAATATTAATTACATCATTGTTTGTAATAAAATTTGGAAACAGACTAAATGGGAATGAATAAACTTGCAATATGTTCAAACAATGGAATATTGTACAGGAATTAAAATGGTTGAACTGGGGCCAGGCGTGGTGGCTCATGCCTGTAATCCTAGCAATTTGGGAGGCTGAGGTAGGAGGATCACTTGAGGTCAGGAGTTTGAGACCAGCCTGGCCAACATGGTGAAACCTTGTCCCCACTAAAAATACAAAAATTAGCCGGGCATGGTGGCAGACACCTGTAATCCCACCTACTTGGGAGGCTGAGGCTGGAGAATTGCTAGAACCCAGGAGGTGAGGTTGCAGTGAGCCAAGATTGCACCATTGCACTCCAGCCTGAGTGACAGAGCGAGACTTTGTCTCAAAAGAAAAGAAAAGAAAAAAAAAGACCGAACTAGAACCACATCTGTCAACATATGTAAATTTCAAAAGCTGCATGTATTGACACAGGTAAATCTCAAAAACAGTGTTGAGTGAAAAGGCAGGTTGCAGAATGATACCTACAATATTATTGCATTTAATGTAAAGTTTTACTATCTGTATCTAGCATTATATATAGTTGATAGATACACACACATGTGTAATATAAGTATAAAAAACGTACGGGAGCTGGGTGCAGTGGCTCACACCTGTAATCCTAGCACTTTGGGAGAAGTGATTATTGTAAAAAGGCACTGCATTTTCCTGATTACTTATGAGGCTGAATATCTTTTCCTGTATTTGCTGGCCTTTCAAGTTCCTCTTCTGTATACTAACATATTTATCTATTGTCTATATTTCTACTGGGTTTCTCTTTTTTTTGGCTGAGGCGGGTGGATCACTTGAGCCTAGGAGTTTGAGACCAGCCTGGAAATCATGGCAAAACCCCATCTCAGCTAAAAATACAAAAAAGAATAGCCAGTCTTGGTGGCGTGTGCCTGCAGTCCTAGCAACTCAAGAGGCTGAGGTGGAAGGATCACCCAAGCTGAGGAAGTCAAGGCTGGAATGAGCCCAGATTGTGTCACTGCACTCCAGTCTGGGCAATGGAAGTGAGACCCTATCTCAAAAACAAACAAACAAGCAAACAAACAAAAACTACCAACTATGGGAATGATAGTCTCCAATTCAGGATAGCTGTTATGGGATTAGTGAGGGGATACATGGACGGGGTGGTAATGGTGGTGGTTCACCCTATATAATATTTTCTTTAAGGAAATTTAAAGCAAAGACAGAAAAATATTCAGCTGTATTAAATACATACATCTGGATAGTGGTGATATGGGTCTTCAGAGTGTCATTCAGTATACTTTTCTGTACATTTGAAATGTTTCATAGTGGAAAAAAAGCAGGAAAACGCTTACAGCACTCAAGTGGCTGCTCTTGTGCTAAGGATGTCCCTTATTCCTTTAGGTCTTTGTTCCTTCTGACAGTGGCCCTGAAGCTTCAGCAAGGCTTTTAGGCAGGGAACTAATCTTGTCGACTTTTTTTTTTTTTTTTCCCTGAAATGCTTTCCTACAGGCTAAGGAAAATGACTTCAAGCATTTTCATTCTGTGATTTATATCAATGCCTCAGAAAACCTGCTGCCTCTAGGTAAGCTTTTTCTTTCTTGAAAGCTCTCTTCCTCCTCTTAGCCAGCATAGCCATTCACATGTCTGAGGATTTGTCTATCTATCCATCCATGATTGGCTGCACATCTCTTTTTTGGGGTACAATAGGCTGGGTCCTGGAGAGCATAAAGACCTCGATTCCAGTCCTGCTCTGGCGCTACCTACTTAGAACATTTTTCTGTGATCTGCTACTTTTCCATCTGTCAATGGGGGTAATTCCCTTCTTTTTTTCCTCCCATTGCAGGATACCTCGCAGGCTCATATGAGATGGGTGTATAAAAATGTTTCTAAGCCTGTAAAGTGCTCCTGTGAGAGCATAAAGCCTTCTGTTATTCAGCAAATCCACAGCGACCCCTGCTGGGTATTAGGACTATGTGAATATTTGGCTTTTAGAAATGAGTGCATCCAGTCCTGCTCTGGTGGGCTCGTGGTTTGGTGAGAGAGATGGACTCAGATACAGATAGTTAGAGCAGAATGAGGGGAGAGCAGTGAAAGAGAGAATCAGGAAATACTATGCAAGCATATATGTGGGACTTCAAGCCAGGCCAGAGTGTCAGGAGGAACTTCTGAGAAGAGGAGCAAAGAGACCAAAAAAATGAATAGGAGTGATTCGGGAACTAGAAGGTAAGAAGGCATTTCTGGCTGCTGGAGCAGATGTGGAATGGCAGCACCTGATCAGGAAGACTGAAGAGGTTTTGTATGTTTGCCAGGGAAGCATGTGGGGGACAAATGAAACTAGAGAGATTGGCAGTGACTGGATTATCAAGGACCAGGAGTGAATTGGACTTAGTGCTACAGGCGAAAGAGAGCCTTGGAAGGGTTTTAAATAGAGAAGCTCAGTGGCAGTTGTGAGGAGAGTGGATTATAAGATAAGAAGAAGATGGAGGCCAGGAAACCTGGGAGATTATTTCAGGTTTTTAGGGGAGTGGAGATGAGGCCTGAGCCAGGATTATGACAAGAAGCATGCAGAGGATTGAGAGAGAGAGAGAGAGAGAGAGAGAGAGAGAGATTAAGATTGGTTTAGAAGGAGTAGAAACCACAGGACTTGGTAACTGATAGACTGATAGGGATGTAAGGAGAGGGAGGAATCAAGGGGGCATTTCACTGAGACAAGGCACAGCACACTAGAGAAAAGGCAGGTCAGAGGGAAATAGGATAAGTTCAGTTTTGTTGCATTGAGTTTGAAGATTGTTTTCAAAGAAGCATATGATGAGGTCCTGCCCTTTAGGAGACAGGGTGTTCTGTCAGGAGCTTGGGCTTGAAATACAAAGGCCAATAGGTATATGAAAAGATGTTCAACCTCACTAATAATTACAATGGATCAAGATACTGTTTTCTGCCTGTCAAATATTGGCAGAAGTGAAAAGGGCTGATGACAGCCAGCATTGGTAGGGAAATGGATATTCTTGCATTGAACTGTGGAAGTATAGTCATTGATGTAACATCTTGGAGGTAATTTGGTAATGTTTCTTAAAATTTAAAATAGTCATTGCCTTTAATCTAGTAGCTTTACTTCCAGGAAATTATTCTATAGAAACACACTCGTACAAGGCTGCTCATTGGAAACATCCAGAAATACTCACAAAGCAGCCTTTATTAGGTTCTACTGAACCTTCTGACTTACAAGACTACCATGGGCTATATTTAACATCAGGTTCACTTAGAAGGCTCTAAGTAATTCCACACAGAATGCCAGTACTGCCAGCATCAGGAGTTTCTCTTCAGTGGAGTTCCCAAAGCCATCCATGAGGCATTCTTTGTGCCCCTCCTCCCGACCCCCAGTGTCAGCTCGGGTACAAGACAGTGAAACTATCATTGGGTGGATGCAAAAGCCACCCTGGCTTAGAAATCTCATTCGCCACAGGAGCCAATATACATTGAAACACTTACAGGCATAGCTCCTAGAGTTTCTGCAAAGGATATGTCCAATTATAGGAATCACTACACATAGGGAAGCCCAAAATTATGGTGCCCCTTTCAGGCGTCTATCATTCATTTACAGTTTCTCCTAGCCCAGATGTAATTTACCAACCTAGGGTGATTTTTACCACAAGTGATACTGCCTGGAAATGCAGTTACTATACCGTTGGTTTCAGGTTACCAGAGGAACAGGGCTAGAAAAAGTTCAGTTCTCATTCAGAGAGAGAAACTTTTATTCATATAGTTCCTTACCTTTTATTCATATAGCCTAAAGGCTATCAATAGGGAAATGGATTAGTAAACTAGCATATATCTATACAGTAGAACATCAAGAGACAGTAGGCATATCTATATGTTTTGACATGAAATAATCTTTAAGTTATATTGTTAAGGGAAAAAGCAAGTCAGTACAATGTGTACAGAATGACTCTATTTTTGTTAAAAGAGGTATGTGTGTGTATTTTGATATATACATGAGAAAAAGTTGAGTGCTATATATGCAACTTTTAATACTTGTCTCTGGATGTTGAGATTAAACAGAACTTTTTATTTTTCTATGATGTTTGACTGTTTTTCTTAGTTATGTTTTAATTTTTGTAATCAGGATTAATAAAGATAATTTTTTAAATGTGCTTTGCTGTTGAGCAGACTTAGATTCAATCCTTGGCTCTTTCACTTACCAGCAATTTCATTCTGGCAAATCACTTAGTTTGGCTGAGGCTTAGTCAGTCATAGAATGGAAGTAGTAATCCCTATTTTTCTGCGTTGTTGGAGATTTAGAGGCCATGTATGAAGAGTACCTTATACAGTGCCTGGCCTAACCCAGTAGGAACACAGTAAATGGTAATTATTAATATCTTTCTCTTAAGTCCTTTACAAACTGCAGACTGTCTTTCTCCTCCCCATGTAGAGGCATTTCACACGTTTCCAGCCCTAAAGGAACTGGATCTCGCATTTAATGGCATCAAAACTATCTACGTGAAATATGGAGACTTTAAGTTATTGGAAGTAAGTTGGAGGTAGGAAGTTTTTGGTGCCCACCAAGTTCCCCTGTAAGGAATGAGTATAGAGCTTTACTGATTATAACTGTTGGGAAGGGGCTTGCTGGGCCTGTACAGCCAGGCCCTTGCTTCATTGCTGGCCTCCAGGGAGGGTGGGGGTGGGGGTTGTAAGGGCAGTGATAGTGATGGAGGTGGTGGTGACGGTAGAAGTGGCATCAAATAGTTGATACCAAAGACTTAACCATGGTGCATGGTCCTGGAAAATAAATGCCAAAGGTCATGTCCAAGGGAGTCTGTGCGGAAAAGTTTTAAAGCAGAATATTATAGGAGGGAGAGTTTTGAGGGGAGATCTGGATCTAGTGGGGGTTGAGGAGCCATGGAGCTTAAGAGCTAGGTGCAGCAGATTGGATCGGCTCAACTAGAGATATTATAGACTCATTCCAGAGTCTCATTGTGGTCTAAGTGAGCTGAATCAGTCTCAGTGGCTGGGATAGAGCAGGCTATAGGCTTAGTCCATAACCTCGGAGATGAGTATGAATAGGGATTTAATGGCATCAGCAGCAGAGTCTTGAACATTTGTACATTCACAGCTGTTCTTCAAACCCCAAATTAGAAAATACAGAAAATTTTGTTTGCATTCTTGGTTTTCTCCTAAATTTTCCCATAGCCATGCATTTTCTGCACATGTCCTCATAGTTCAAGTTGATTACTTCTTCAGCTTTCATGAAGACTTGTGGGTCACTTTTTACAAAGGAACAAAGCTTTGTCACTACCTGAGAGTCACTGCATATGTGGACAGTAAAGGACAACAGAGTTGGAGCCACGTGTGGGGCTGGGCATCTGGCCATGCTCACTCACTGAGTAATAGACTCTTCTCCACATGCTGGAGTAGAAGTGTTTCAGAGTCAAATCTCAGCAAAATGTCTGCACATCATGAACCTTGAGGTCGACCCCAAAGAGCTGTTAACTTAAATGATTTCATCAGCAAACATCAAGGGTCAGCCATTCTTCACAAAAGCCTCACTTAACCTGTTGTTGTCAGTGAGGGGAACCTTCTACAAGAGGTTTTCAGAGTTGATGGCCTTCATATGCCAAAGCTTTAAAAGGTTTTAAGCTCTTGGAATAGCCATCTTCCTAAATTGGATTATATGTCTTTGCATTTTTAAAACATATTCTGCTGACTGTAGTGGAACCTTCTCTCCATGGTCTCAAGTCATATTGAAGATAACAGTAATTTACTATGATTTGGGACAAAAGTAGTCCTCACACTTGTCCAGGAAGCAAAGCTCTTGAAAATCGAATAAAATAGAAAGTTTACAACAACCGGTGCATTTTTTTTCTGTGTTAATAAATATTTAATAGTAGATTTTGGAATAGACAGAAGGAAACAGGTTTCAGATGGTCTAGAGATACAGGGAGCCATGTCCCTTTTAGCCTGGGAGCTTCTTAAGAATTTCCATTTATTTGTTCTTCTACTTTTTCAAAGAGTAGTCATTGAGCTCCTGTGTTGTGCATTGTACCATGCATCTTGTCTTCTTCCCCTACCATTTCAAACCTGTTTCAAGTGCCAGTGGGTTGAAGGGAGGAGGCATGACTATAGGCTCTGACCCCACAACTGACTAGCTTGGATCTAGTGATTGATCATGAGTGACTTTTTGGAGGCCTTACTTTATAGTGTGATTGCATCTGATGAAGATGATTTATCCACAGACCTACCCTTACGAAAGGGTGTTTACATAAGAGAGCAGACCAAAGTTAAGATGCAGAATATAGATGAAAACAGGAAATCTCTTGCCCAGCCATCTGTTTTCATCTGTCTGTGATTTGCAAGGGCTCCCTAAGAAGAAGGATAAACCTGTCAAATATCCTGAATTTGCAGCTCACAGTAATGAATATTTTGATGTGTAATAAAACTTGATGTGACTCAGCAGATGTAGTAGCCAGGTTAGGAGTCTTCTGTTCTTGTTTGCCAAAAAGGCTGCCCCAGGAGGAAAAGCCCAGAGTAGAATAATTCTTCAGGAGTCAATTTAGAAAAACTTAACTTGCCATGGTTTGATTCTCAGATTACAGATCTGAAGAAGGTTCAGCTGGAGCCCTGCCCTGGCAGTCAGAAGACCTTCTTTTGTCTTGGTTTTGCCAGTACTTTGCCATGCCTACCTGGCCAAACATTGTACCCTCTCTGGGACTAACATTTCCCCTCTGTAAATTCTGGGTCAGCTCTGAAATTCTGTGGCCTATGATTCTAAGGCTATTCATTTCTTTGAATTGCACTTAATTGTATAGAAAGCAAATTTGGATCCTACATTAAATAGTCAAAGCAGCTAGAATGAGGTCAGCAAACTTTTTCTGTACAGCAGGCCAGACAGTGAATATTTTAGGCTATATCAAATATATATGACCATATATATTTAGACAATAATATATGGTCATAAACTAATCATAACTAGTCAGCTCTGCTGTTGTATAATGGAAAACAGCCATAGATAATATGTACACAAATGAGAAATGAGGATGGCTGTGTTCCAATAAAACTTTATTTATTTTAATTAATTAATTAATTTTTTGAGACAGTCTCACTCTGTCACCCAGGCTGGAGTAAGTGGCACAATCTTGGCTTACTGCAACCTCTGCCTCCTGGGTTCAAGCGATTCTCATGCCTCAGCCTCCTGAGTAGCTAGAACTAAAGGGGGGAACCACCACACCCAGCTAATTTTTGTATTTTTGGTAGAGACAGGTTTCACCTTGTTGACCAGGCTAGTCTCAAACTCCTGGCCTCAAGTGATCTGCCCACTTCAGCCTCCCAAAGAGCTGGGATTACAGGCGTGAGCCACCATGCCCAGCCTGAAACTTCATGATGCTGACATCTGAACTTCACATAACTTACACATGAAACACACTCTTATTCTTTTTTTGATTTTTTCAACCATTTAAAAATGTAAAAATTGGCTGGGCAGGGTGGCTCACACCTGTAATCCCAGCACTTTGGGAGGCCAGGGCAGGAGGATCGCTTGAGCCCAGGGGTTCAAGACCAGCCTGGGAACAAAATGAGACCATGTCTCTACAAAAATTAAAAAAAAAAAAAAAAATAGCATGGTTGTGCATGCCTGTGGACCCACAGGAAGCTGAGGCAGGAGGATCACTTGAGCCTAGCAGCTTGAGGCTTCAGTGAGCCATGTTCATACTACTGCCCTCTAGCCATGTTCACACCAGGGGTGACGGAATAAGATCCTGTCTCAAAAAGAAAAAAGCAAAAATTATTCTTAGCTCATGGGTTATACAAAATAGCAGTAGGCCAGGCCAGCTTCTGAGCTAGAACGCTAATGAAACAGCTCAGTATGGTTGGAATAGAGACTGAGACACAGTAGAGTGTAGTGATATGTGAACCTGGAGGGGTAGCAGAAAAGAGACTGGGGAGAACCTTGGAAACTTGCTGAGGAGTTTAAACCTTATGGAGAGTAGGGATTCATTGAAGGGTTTTAAGCTAAGTGGTAGGGTCAGAACTGCATTTTAGAAAAACCATTCTGGCTTCTGTATAAAAAATAGATTGGAGGGAACAAGTATGAGAGATATTAAGGAGGCAGATAGAATCCGTAGGCTGACTGTTCACACATGAGTATGAGGGAGAGAATGTTCCCCACCTTTCCCTGTGCTTATCTTGGGCATCTTTCCAGGTCTTCCTCCTGTAGGCTTCTCTGTTCCAGCCAAGTGGGATCACCTCATTGTCTGAACCCTCAAACCTTGGAATTTGCTCATGGTGGCATGAACTCGGTGCTTCTGTAATACTTGGCTAGTCTTGTCAGGCCATTTCTTATACCATGGACTTCAGTCATAACCAAACTATTCATGGTTCTCAGAACAAGCAAGGTTGCCTCCTGCCTCCTGTCTTCCATACATGCCACTTGCTGCCCTGAATGTGTCTTTGCCCTCACCAATTTGGTGAATACCTGTTGGTCTCTGAGGACAGCTCAGATGTTACCTACCCTGTGAAGCCTGTCCTGATCCCCTGGTAGACCTGACCATTTCCTTCCTTTGTGCCCTGATTCGTCTGTCTTCAGACATCTATCCCAGTAGCATTGCTACATAATGAACATATACATGTATTTAGCTGAGTAGGCTGGGAGCTCCTAAAGGGCAGGGATGGGTGCAAAGTAAGCCTTATGCATAGGGTTGAGGAATGAAAGGATGATGATGATGATGATGACAGCCAACATTAAGCATTTACTGTATACTAGACTCCAGGATAAAGGCTTTATTTACATAGGAACCACTTATTTCTACTTTACAGATAAGGAAACCCAGATTAAGTAATTTGCCTAATATCACATGGTTAGTCAGGACTTACGCCCAGGTCTGCAGAACTATCAATTAATTACTACAGCAGAGTCAGACCAAACCCAGTCCTTCTCTGATGGTAACCTGTAGTGTGTATATGTCTGACTATGTAATACTGATGTGGCTGACCAAAGACTTACTCCTGTACCAATTGAATTAGGCGCTGAAACCAACCCCATTCAATAGACTTCAATGTATGTTGAGGAGGTGGGCACACGGAAGCACATAAGAAATAGGGGTGCATGAAAGGGAGCCAATTTGTATATATAGAGTCTACAGAGGCTTAGGAGAAGGAGAACAAATATTGGACAGATGTCATTTATCCCGATTTTCTTTGTCTCTGCAGAGAAACACAGTTTTCTGATTGACTCCTTGGCCCCTTGACCCCAGTCAACTATCTAATGAATCCAGAAGGCCAGTTAGAAGGTGGTTGACAATAGGGTGAAAATTTGGGTTTATTGTCCTCATAAGCCGGTTTATTTCTTTTTATTTCTTTTTTCTTCCTTCTTTCTTTTTTTTTTTTTTTGAGACAGAGTCTTGCTTTGTCACCCAGGCTGGAGTGCATGGCGTGATCTCAGCTCACTGCAACCTCTGCCTCCCAGGTTCAAGCAATTCTCCTGCCTCAGCCTCCCGAGTAGCTGGCACTACAGGCACGTGCCACCACACCCAGCTAATTTTTTGTATTTTTAGTAGAGTCGGGATTTCACCATGTTATCCAGGATGGTCTTAATCTCCTGACCTCATGATATGCCCACCTCTGCCTCCCAAAGTGCTGGGATTACAGGCGTGAGCCACTGAAGCCAGTGTATTTCAGCTCATTTTTTATGTGCAACTACTTTGCTCCAGGTCTTATGCTAACTTACAAGGATAGTGTTACAGTGGCATGGCACTTGACCCCACAGTCCTCCAAGTACCAGTTTATGATCTAGTCTACCACTGTGTGCCAAGCACTATGCTAGGCATATCCATATGCCAGATACCTGGCAGACTTGGATAAGTACCCCTAGTACCCTGAGAGCAGTTTAGATAAAGCAGTCAAAGTTAGGGGAGGTAGAGATTCCATCTGTCTGGGGAATTGAGAAGGTTTTACAAGGAGGCAACTTTTGAGCTGTCTTTTGGGGGCTTGGATTAGGATACATGGAAGAGGGGCATTCCCATTTAAGCAAACAGTACAAGCAAAGATCTATAGGTGGATGAGGCAAAGAGCGGGGAGGAGTCTGTTTGCCCAGCACTACAGGATAAACAAAGATTTGTAGTGGCAAGTAAGGCTAGAAAACCGGTTGGGTACTGACTCTAGTAGACCTTTAATGTTAAAGGTGCAGGAGGGTTTTTTCCTGTGGGCAATGGGGCACTCTAGAAAGTAGTTCCCACATCATATATATGAGCATCATTGTCACACAGAGTGCTTATCTTCCCCATCTTTCATCTTTGCATGGCAGTTCTTGGACCTTTCCTTCAACAGCCTGACTGCGGAGGCCATCTGTGATTTGGGGATTCTGCCACACCTCCGTGTCCTGCTCCTCACAGGCAATGGCCTCACCTCCCTGCCGCCCAATTTGGCCGTCGCAGAGCAGTAAGTTCTATCTCCCGGAGTCCATTCTGTGTTTTTGTGTATAAGTATCCAAGGAAATAACCCATAGCAGCTTGGAAGTGCCATAAAGACAGGCTGTAAGTGCTCAAAGCAGGGATAATGCCACCTACTGAAGCTCCCAGAAAGGCCGCAGACACATGCCCCCAATTTCCTGTGTGCTGTTAGGAGAGATCAAGATGTTTGGCAAGCCACTTTCCCTGCCTCTGACTGGTCATCTGTAAATTGTCTTGCCAGACAATTCTCCTTCACGAGCCTTCTGTGTCAGCTCAATAAGTCTGTTCCCTGGTCTCTAGATAAGCTTTGTACATTCCCACTCTGCACCTTTGCTGAGACCATTCCTTCTGGCTGGTCCTTCCTCTCTTGATAGTAACAAAAACACGTATGTCGTACTTACAATGAGCCAGACACTGTACTCAGCATTATATATGTTAACTCATTAAATCCTCATAACAGCTCTGTGAGGTAGGTCTCCTATTATTATCCAAATTTTTTAGATGAGGAAATAAGTACAGACATTTAAGTAACTTGCCCAAAGTTGCGAAGCTAGTCGGTAACAGACCCAGGATTTGAACCAAGTCTGTCGGACTCCAGAGACCATACTCATGACTATTATATTATATTCTTATGTAGATTCTGCACATTTTCTAAGGCCCAGCTCAGACCTTCCTCCTTTCCCTACCAGGAGCCTTCTCTGACTGCTTTAGCCCATGCCTCTTAATCCCTTCTCTAGGGATCAGTTTAATTTAGTGTTTCCAGTTAATTTAATACTTAGCATATTCTATTGTGAGTTATGCCTAAATATATATGTGTATATATGTAGTAAGTTACTTAGATTTTATATAGTGATGATTGTGGTTGGTTAGTTACTCAAGGGGGTTGAGATAATAGTAGTGATCATTTATTAGGGGTTTCATTAGTTAGGGGTTGTTTTGTTTGCAGGTAATAGAAGTCCAATTCAAAGTAGCTGAAACAAAAAGGGGAATTTATTGGTTCATGTATGTGAAAAATCAGGTGAATCTGCTGGATGCTTTGGCTGTATATAGGTGCACAGGATGTTGTCAGGTCTCTGTGTGCATCTCTATTTCTTGAGCATGTGTACAGCTTCTGTTAGTCTGTTACTTGTTCTGTCATACACATGAAGACATTTTTGTTTTCCTTAGTGTTGGCTTCATTCTTTTTTTTTCTTTCAGTTTTATAACTTTATTTGATATAGTTGACAATCAGTGATTAGTTCTTGTCCACATCAACTGTCTATAGTTTTTGAAAGTGGTAACAGGTACATAGGTAACCAAAGTATAGAGCTCATTTGGTGAATCTTCATCCTCATTATGTTTTCTGGACAACCGCACATGGGTTCGGCATGGGACATTCCTTATTCCTTTGGCCCAGACAGCCTTGTTGAGCCTGGTATCAATGCGCACATCTAGAGTCCCCATCTCCTTCATGGTAAATTTCTGAATCTCTTTGAGTGCTCAAGGGGCACGTTTCTTGAAGCCCACTCCATGGATGCCCTTGTGAATGTTAATGGTGTATTCTCGGGTCACCACCTCATGGATGGCAGAATGGCCCTTTTTCTTCTTGCCACCCTTCTTCACGGGAGCCATTCTGCCGGGTCCTGGCTTCATTCTTAGATAAGCTTTCTCTATGAGCCTGTCAGGCTGTAGACAGAAATACAAAACCCACTTAAGGTATTAAAAATAGAAGGGATTCATTGGTTTATCGATTGGTTTATTGATTTATTAATTCTTGGCAGGGAGAGATAATTGGTATTTTGTTATGGAAAGTTTTTTAACACATATAAAATTAGAGTCAATCATAAAATTGACTCCAGGTACCTATCACCCACAATTATCACCTGACAATTACCAATTATGGCCAATCTTGTTTCATCTATGCCCCCATCACGCCCCCTCCTGGAATATTCTTAAGAAAAATCTCAGATATATACAGCCATAAATGTTTCATATTATTTCATCTATAAATATTCCAGTATGTAGCTCTAAAAGGTAAGCACTCTTAAAAATCATACCCAGAGAACCATTATTCCACCTAAAATATCACCAGTGATAAAGAGAGGGAATTGGTTACATGGCTGTTAGAAGGGATGGAAGAGCTAAGTGGAGAAGAGGGGTATGGGAAGAACAAAAAGGAAGAAGCATTGATAACCAGAGATCAGAAGCTGCATCACTGCTCAACTGAAGTCAACAAGTCTATATCCACTGCTGGGCTTTCAGGGAGGGTGTCACTGTAATTGTAGACCTGCTGAAGATGTGATGCCTCAACCAAGGCTGGAATCTCTGCCAATGCAGTTACCATGGTTAGTACTGCCATTGCTGCTGCACTATCACTGCTGCTGCAGACAGAAATGCTATCAGAAGCCAAACAAGACAGTTGCCTCTCCCCAGCTCTGGCCTTCCAGTCTCTCATGAATTCCTTCTATTGGTGGTATCCAGCTAGTTGGAAAGGCAGTCTGGGAAGTGTAGTTAAGGAGGTGGCTCCAGCCCCCTGCAATACACAGAAGAACACAGAAGGAAGGGGTGAAGGCTGAGAGCAAACAGGCAGATAACTGGCACCATTCAACCCTTGGAACCCCAATATCTACCCTCCTGCTTCCCTCCATATTTAATTTCCATACAACAATAGCAACTGCACCATGCTTTTACCTAACATGAAGGAACTCTTCCTCTTACACTGAAGACACTTTCACCATCTCCTCAAGAAGGATGAGACACAGTTCCATCAGTTACTGTAGCCATCGCTGGATGATATTATTTTCTCTTCTAAAGAAATTTATGGATATTTTATATCCTAAAAACTAAGTTGTAAAGTCAATCACCACTAGCAGTTTAAGTGTGCATGCGAGTGCACACACACACACTAAGGAAGGAAGAAAATGCACATGAAAATATGCATAGTTGCTACAGTGATCATTTCTTAACTGGTCAGGAGGCCATAGTGAATATTCGTAAATCCTTTTTTCCATCACCTATTTAATGTTCCTTTGTCCTCGTCCAGCACTTTGGCTGGTTGGGGTTCTTTAACTGATGTGGTCTTCTGAACCTTTACTTCTGAAGGGTCTGAGTCTTTAAAGGTCCTGCTTTTACTGGGTTGCTGTAGTTTTCATTAAAAGACTAAAAGACATGGAACTTCTTAGAGGAGCACTAGATAATACTGTAGTCCCAAAGATACTTTTTTTTTTTTTTTTACCTCAAGGTATAACAGCAATTATATTTATTTTTATAAACAGTATCAGTCACCTAGTCAGTAGAATGAACCCCTCTTTGTCTGACTATAGGTTCAGTGAAATGAGAAATGCAAGTGGCCAGTAGCAATCTTGACTTCCAGTTCAGTGGAACCATGATTGTGTCTCCTGGTAAAAGTACCTCCTTAGGAACTAAGACTTGTAAATCAGAAATGCCAAAAATTATAGAATGAGAAGCAAAAAATCTGCAAGTGGACTATTAGATATATTGTAAGAGGAGTTACTTTCATTTCCATTAATTCCTAGGCCCTTAGGTTATGGTTATGAGAAAAACAGTATCAGTTTTGGTTTCTGTGATACCCTATGCTGTTAAGTTAGGGTCCCAACTTTAACTATATCTATTTGGCATAGTAGATAAATCATCAAAGACTATTTCACTAGAGGATTCTGAGAAGATGATAGAGTAGGAAGCACCAAGAGTGTGTCTCCTCATCTAGACAACAGTTTCATTGGCAGAATCAGTCTGATGTAACAATTTTGAAACTGTGGACACAAATAATCTTCACACTCTATTAAAAGTTTACGTCGGCCAGGCGCAGTGGCTCACGCCTGTAATCCCAGCACTTTGGGAGGCTGAGGCGGGCGGATCACGAGGTCAGCAGATCGAGACCATCCTGGCGAACGCAGTGAAACCCCATCTCTACTAAAAATACAAAAAAACTAGCCAGGCGTGGTGGCGGGTGCCTGTAGTCCCAGCTTCTAGGGAGGCTGAGGCAGGAGAATGGCGTGAACCCGGGAGGCGGAGCTTGCAGTGAGCCGAGATCGCGCCACTGCACTCCAACCTGGGCGACAGAGCGAGACTCCGTCTCAAAAATAAATAAATAAATAAAAGTTTACGTCTTCCAGGGGAAGATTTAGATGACAAACTGCAGCTAATTTCAGTCAATTACAGCTCTTAACCCGGTAGCAGCTACCCATCCCCTAACTCCCAATCTCATGGTTCAAGTTTTAAACCTGAAAATTAGAATAATAAATATATTCGTTGGGTAACTCACATGCAGCTTGCAGAAGCCAGGGTGAGCAAAAAGATCCCTGTCCTCCAAATTTTAGAGATTTGTGCTGTGATCACTGATTGCTACTTCTAATCATTGAGGCACAGACAGAGAGGCACACAACCATTGTTGCACACACACCCATCCACAACTGTTGTAAGCCCTTTCTGCTCCAGCTGAAGAGACTTCCAGGGAATTTAAAGGATTTCTTTTCTTAATCCCCATTCCTTTCCCCCTCTTTTGGGAGCCAGACATTAAAGTCTGGGACATTTAAAAGCAGCTGCATATACAGAAGAAATGAGAATGTCACCACATATACCGAGAGAAATGCACAGGCTTAGAAAAGACCTGAGAAGACCTTACATTTACACCTCAGCCTAATCCTTGACACAGAGACAGCCTACAGTAATCAAATACAAAAAAAAAAAAAAAAAAAAAAAAAAACAAGCAAACCCTGGTAAAGGGGAGAATCTGATTTCTAGAGTTACCATATTAATAGATTCAAATATTCAGCTTTCAACAAAAAAATCACAAGGCATACAAAGAAACAGAAAAATATGGCCCAGCCAAAGGAAAAAATTAAGCAACAGAAACTATCCCTGAGACAGGGAGGACTTACTAAAGACTTTAAAACAGCTGTCTTAAAGGTTTTCAAAGAACTAATGGAAGATATGAATAAAGTCAAGAAAATGATATATTAACAAAATGGAAATATCAACAAATAGATA